ATGGGGTGCGGCCGAAAGCCTTAAAAATGTTTGCCGCAAAGTATAACAAAAAGGAAAGAATACCACAAAAGAATTTTTAGAATTTCAAGTATTTTTTTTTAATCAAATTAAAATTAATAAAACTTGGTAAATAGCCGAGAAATTTTCGCAGCACTTCGGCTCCCCCTGTGGGGATGGGGTGCGGAGCTTCCGCCCCTAGCTCAACATCCCGAAACAAAGGTCATCTGAATTTTTATAAATAAAATAAAATTTAATTATCTTTCTTCCTCTATTTTAAGTATTTTTCTTAAATTAATTATACAAAATAAAAAAATTCTCGAAGAACACAAAAGGCAAAATATTCCTTAAGTATAGTCCCTCTTCCTCTAGGCTGTCACCCAACTCTAAAACCCTGATCAAGTCTTCCCCTAACTAGGGTTTCCCCTAATTAGGGTTTTACTAACTAGGGTTTTGGGAACTTCTCGCGCAACCGCGCGCTTCCACGTCGAACTTCTCGAAGTGGAAAATTTTTCGTTAGTTTGTAGTTCGTTAAGAGTGGAGTTCCAATGGATCACTTTCGTCAACTTCTGTTTCCCTTTTATTTTCAAAAATACAATGAAAATTACTAATTCCCCTTAATTTCCCGCTCTTTTCCCGTCTGTCCGCGGTCACCACTCGTCCAAACGGAGTCCGTTTTCCCCGACTAAGGTTTCAAAATGTCACGAAAAATGCGACGACCAACTTTGGTCCGGGCGGTGATTTCCTAATTTCGCTTCTTTTCTTCGCTATAAAAATAAAAGGAAATTCTTGATTTTCGGAATTTTTAATTAAAAATACAAAAAAAAATCCATATCTTTTTTTCTAGCCGTTAGAATTTTTCAAAAAACGTCTCAAAATGTTCGCCTCGTCGAGAGGTTGAACTTTGCTCCCCGTGCGCCTTGCGCAAAATCGCGCGGATCGGGAGATATTTCAAAAAACAACTATTTCAAAAATATCAAAAATTAAAGCTAATCAAGAAAACAGACTAATTAGTGTTTGCAATAATCAGCCCGCGCACCCCCGTCGATTGGGGAAGGCCGCGGCCTTGATGGTGCTACTCCCCTCCCCGGCAACGGCGCCACTGTTGTGAGGAAACCCGGGGAGGGGGCCCTTACTGTTCGCTGAGGCCAGGGGCTACAACGCCTGTCACTCGTTGCGCCCGTTCAGAGGTCCTCGACGTTCAGCGATTTTTCCGTGAACCGTGACTTCAGTCATGCGATCTCTTTTTGCGCTAACTTGCGCACTGCTGTTCCTTAYTGCTAGAAACGATMAACCAATGGTTAAAACGATCTGCTCCGATCTTTGTCCAGGGCGCTGGTACTCTGCAAATGTGTCCGGAACTTTATGAATAAATCAAAAACAATAAAATAAAAATAAAAATGAAAAGGGCCCTCCTTTGCTGTATGTTCACAGTCAGCCCGCTCGTTAGTACCCCAGCTCACATTATCCCGCCTGATCTCTCTCTCTCTCTCTRAKCTCATTCCGCCGCCCCYGCTAGATAGCTGCTGGGAATTGACATTAGGTAAAATTAATAAAACAGCAACTGTTATTTGCACTGGTCCAGTCCCTCCAATCAAAGCTTCACGTGAGTACCCTGGTGGACCAAGC